ACCAACTGATGGAAGGATGAACAAAATGTGGTGTATCCATACAATAAAATATTCTTCAGCTAAAATAATCAATGAAATTCACTAAAAAAAGAAAATAATTTTGGGCAGCCCGGATGGCCCAGAGCTTCAGCCCAGGGTGTGATCCTAGAGACCCCGGATCGAGTCCTGTGTTGGGCTCCCTGCATGGAGCCTGCTTCTCCCTCTGCCTGTGTCTCTGCCTCTCTCTCTTGCTCTCTCTCTCTGTGTCTCTCATGAATAAATACATAAAATCTTAAAAAAAAAAGTCAGATGCTTAACTGCACCACCCATGTGCCCCATGAACGAAATTCTGATACTTGCTACAACATGGATGAACCTTGAAAACATGATAGTAAGTGAAAGAAATCAGTCACCAAGACCACATAGCGTAGGATTCTATTTACATGAAACGTCCAGAATAGGCAAATCCATGGAGACAGACAGCAGACTACTGGTGGCCAGGGGCTGGGAGGAGGAGGACATGGGAGGTGACGCTATGGGTATGGAGGCTATGAACACGCTCTAGAGTTAGATGGTAGTGGTGGCAACACAACTCTCAATATACTAAAAGCCACTCAATTTTACATTTTAAAGGATTAATTTTATGTTATGTAAATTATGTCTCAATAAAAAATTTATTTAAAAAGAGAGAATATGGGCAGCCCGGGTGACTCAGAGGTTTAGCGCCGCCTTCGGTCCAGGGCGTGATCCTGGAGATCCGGGATCGAGTCCCACGTCGGGCTCCCTGCATGGAGCCTGCTTCTCCCTCTGCCTGTGTCTGTGCCTCTCTCTCTGTGTCTCTCATGAATAAATAAATAAAATTAAAAAAAATAAAAAGAGAGAAAAAAGAATGAAGTGAAGCTGTCACTTGAAGGATAACAACTGACGGTACTTGCTGCTAATGAAAAACTCAAGATTTCAATTAAAAATTAGTATTTTGGAAAACTTGTGTCCACCACCAGTACCTTGACAGCTCCTCAGATCTTGAAAGACATCTGTGACATTGGTGATGATATTAACAACTGTGGGCTTTTTCTATTCGATGCTGAAATGTGCCAATATTTTGAAGATTGGAATAATTCAGCGAACCAACGCATGATGTTACTATATCATTCTTGAGTGAAAGGTCCGTGCCAAGTAGACCAGTGGATCTTAATGTAACTGAGCTCAAGAAGTTTATGTGATTTTAGATTCCACATTTCTACTAATCATTAAGAAACTACCTCTTGTAAAATTTTGGTGTAATACCAAAGAAGAACATCCATGATAGTTGCCTGGTAAGGTTATTAAAATACTCTTCCTTTTGCAAGTTACAGATGGCTGGACTTTCTTCATATGCTTCAATCAAAACAATGTATCACAACAGATTGAATCTAGAAGCCGATCTGAGAATCCAACTATCACCCAATCCAGCCAAGATGTAAAACAATGATATATTTCTCACTGAACTTTTTAAGAGTACACTTTAAATTTTTTTTCATAAAACAGTGAGAGCTTATTGATTTTATTCTTAAGTGAATTAACAATTAAATATTGTTTTAACTCATTATCTGCACTATACTTGCAGAGTATAGTGATATGCAGAGATAGTGTATATTTGATAGGTATGCATACCTACCAAATCCTCTGGAGATGGGACCTAAACATCATTTTTATAACACTTCCCCAGAGGGTCTCAATGTGCAGCCAAGTTTAGAACTAGTACCTTAGTGCCTTAAAGCAATGTTCTCAAATTTCAGTTTATCAGCATCACCTGGGGAACGCGGTAAGACTACGAAGCGTAGGCCCCATGCTGCTTCAGTAAGCCTGGACCGCTGTGTTTGTCAGCAGCTGCCCAGGCGAGCTGATATACACCCAAACTGAAGAACCACTGTCTTACACAGGTCAAGAGCATTAAGCTCCTTTCTTAAGTCTGTCCAGATCCTGGACCTGTCTAGGATCTTCTAATCTCTAATCTCTTCTTTCCAGGAGATGTGGGTTCACTCTTCTTTTTCATGGGTTTCAGTAAGCAAAATATCAAAAGGAAATGCCCTACTTTTATTGGAAAGAGTCTTACTGCAAGTAGTGAAATCAAGCAGAGACACACCCCATCTGGGGGCACCACTGCCTGTCCTGCCTTCCTGAAGAGCCTCCCTTCCGGCCTGTGCCGCACAGTCCTGGGGGTCTGCCCCGGTCCAGGGGTAATAGCTCCTAAAGTGACTTCAGAGGGCGGTGCTCTGATGGGTAGGTGACAAGTGAATCTACCTCTCCTGTTTCCAGAAGACAAGGGCCTCTGTTGGGTTGGTGGTGTTGTATCTTCAGAGTATGGAGGGCTGCCACTCGGGATTCTCCTGGTCAGTCCGAACTCGTGAGACATTTGCTCATACAAATATTAGTAAGCTGAGGACGAGAAGTCAGTTATCAGCTCGACTTCAGGTTGGGGGGGGGGTTGGGGGGGGAGGGTTGGGACTGGCTGTAGGTATGTCCCAGGATAGCGTTACCCTGGCACAGCCATGGAGAGCAAGGTATCACCTGCAGGGACAGCAAGGTTCCAGAGGGCAACAAATATAAAGACCTTCCAGGTTCCCAGATTGATTAGCTTTCTCTCCTTCCATGCATTTGTCAAAAACTGAGCAGAGCTTGTGTTTTCTGTATAAATTTGGATTGCTTAAAAAGAGAGGGTGGGGGGAGGACTTCTAGAAAGCAGCTAAGCTTTTAGCAGATTACAGGATGGTTTCAGATTCTCCACTCCTTTCCCAGTAACAGATTTGTGTTCCTAACAGGAAGCTTATGGACTGAAATATTGCCTACTCTGCAAAGACATCTGTATGATACAGATGGACAGATGTTTGTCCGTCCCCAACCTCTTCAACCTGCCCCTTAGAAGAACAGAACAGGCATTTAGTTAGTCCCCCTGTTTGACTCTTGGTGCAAATATTCAAAATCCCTAAATTTTGCTTGAGTGTCTCTGTGTCTAACACTGATCGACTCTAAAGACACAACAATTAAAGAAGGATAAATATTTACACCGCAACTCACTTGGGTAGAGAAATTGCAGTTAGGCTATTAGGTCACCTGGTATTTTACCCAAGGCACTAACACGTCTGGTTGGGGGGGCGGATTACATCACCCTTAAAGCTTCTTCCAGTAGGATAGCATGGATTCGGAGAGACGATGTCTACATTAGCTGGACCCTGTGGCATCATGGAGACCAGACACCAGTCATGAGCTGTACCTTTCACAGCATCACATCATATTGTGCTTGTTTGTTTATAAACATAAGGGGACTAGTATTTGTAGAAACGTAATGGGATTTTTCTTTTCAGACAATGCCATATAGGATTTTAACCCCAGTTTACCCTAGGAATCCATTTTCCTTTTAAAAGTAGTACAAAAAAGAAAGAATAATCTGTTTAGCATTCAGAATTAGGATTATTAAGAAGAAAAACAGAGTCATAGACAGACTATGGTCTTGAAAGAGGATTTCCCCAATTCGGTCATCTTTGCTTTCATTCATACAGAGTTGATCCCGGAGGCCCCTAACTCTGGCGGTTTCCTGTGGGGTGGGGAAGGCATCGCTTCCAACTGGGAGAACCCGGTTCGCTCGGTGGCATTTCTCACCGGGAGGGATTTTGCCCCCAGGGGACACCGCACACATTCCGGCCATCCCAACTAGGGGTTGTCCTACCAGCATGTAATGCCCAGAGCCCAGGGATGCTGTTCAACACCCCGCAGTACCAGGCTGCCCCCCCGCCAGAATGATCTGGCCCAAAAGAGTAATAGTGTTGAGACGGGTTGAGATTCTGCTAACGGAGGTGCTCACAGTGTGGTCCCATACTGGCATCAACTGGGAACTCGGTAGAAATGCAAATCCTCAGGCCCCACTTCACATCTACTGAACCAGAAATTCTGGGCAGGGAGCCCAGCAATCCATGTTTTTTTTTTAAGATTTATTTATTTATTTATTCATGATAGATATAGAGAGAGAAAGAGAGAGGCAGAGACACAGGAGGAGGGAGAAGCAGGTTTCATGCCAGGAGCCCGACGTGGGATTCAATTCCGGTTCTCCAGGATCACGCCCTGGGCCAAAGGCAGGCGCCAAACCGCTGAACCACCCAGGGAGCCCAGCAATCCATGTTTTAACATGCCCTCCTGGTGATGTCCACATGAAGGCTTATGCTCCCTGGAAGTCTGAGGCTAACCTGGGGGACCACTGATACTCCCCAGGTCATGTGGGAGGGGAAGCGAGAGACAGCAGAAAGGAGCCCTGCTGCCCGCCTGCTGTGTCCCCCTGGCAGCTTTGGCCTGAGACATGCGGCAGTGGAGTAGATGCTGAAGGGAGAACCAAGCAGGGAGATCCTGTTCCGTGACCTCCTGGGGCTGCAGAAGTCCTGGCCCACCATGGGTGCTGCTGGGCCCCTGGCATTTGCAGACGAAAGAGTGGACTCAGGTCCTGACCCTGGGAAGACCGCAGCCTCTTACATGACTGGCCTGAGGTCTGACTGCGATTGCTTTGGCCGCACTTGGCCTCCCCAACAGCCCCCGATGTAGTGCCAAGTCCCACCCTCCCAAGCTGCCCAGAAGCCTGCCAGCCAGCCCCAGGGCCACTTTATCCCAGGCTGCAATCTGCAGCAGCTCTAGAAAGTGAAGCGCCTCCGATCTCCCCTCTGCCTGCCCAGGCTGTGCCACAGTCGGTGCACCCCGACACTGAAGTGGTTCCCTGTGTTCTCACTATGGCTCAGGCGGCTCGCGGCACCCAGGGCCTGGGAGCACAGCATGGAATCGAGCACAGCTGCATGTCAGACACCAAAGCTGGTAGCCAAGAGGTGGGTAAAGGATAAAACGGTGATAAGAAGGCGCCTGACCAGGCGGTTGGTTGCCATAAATGTCAGAGAAGCAGGCTCCCCCTGACCCTGGCAACGCCAGTGGAAGGGTATGGAACAAGCGCTGAAGCGCCAAGGCAAAGTACCTTTTTTTTTTTTAAATACATTGCAAACACAAAGTGAACTGCATTAACATTTACCTTTTATTTGATATCTTTGAAAGATCACTTTACACTCGTGGGGTCAAGTATTCTGAGTATCTCAGTTTTTCAGCATTTTATTTGGTGGTCAAACAGCCTTTATTGTAGCAACAGGACAAAGGGCATGCACGGAGTAGGCTGATTTCATTAGGAGCATCAGAAAAAGTTAGCTGACCCAGGCCCAAAGAGGAATATACTGGCAACTTAGGAAGTGGGTGGTCAGCCCAAAGCAGGGATTGGGAGAGTGGAGAAGCCAAGGTAGTCGCAGCAATGGAGGTGTCAGGATGGGTGGGTTGCTCACAGCCCCACCGTTGAAGTGACTCATCGCAATCCATTTCCTACGTTATGTCACACCACTCAAGAGTCAATATCCTGGAAAAGAGACAGGCAGAGACACAGGCAGAGACACAGGCAGAGGGAGCCCGACGTGGGATCCTGCGTCTCCAGGATCACGCCCTGGGCTGTAGGCGGCGCCAAACCGCTGCGCCACCGGGGCTGCCCTAATATCCTGGAAAAGAAAGTCTGATCGGCCTACTGTGCATCACATGCCATCCCCGGCACGGAGGGACAGCTGCAGGTGGGGAGAAAGGGCAACGTGATTATCAGTCCCACCAAGACTCTAATGAAGGGAACGTGAGTGATTCTCCTAAGGGACATCTGGATCCTGCTCCCAACATAAGGATCGGGGGGTGGGGGGTGCTGGGTACAGACACCAGGTATCCATGAGGGGCAGAGAGTCTGCAACCTTCTCACCTGTGCCAACTGGGCCGTGTGTTCCCTCCCTTTGGCAACTGAGGAACAGTACTTGAAAAAGTGCCTTGGAATCATCAGACATGACAGCACATGTCAGGCAGCAGGAAACGGGTTTCAGAAAAGGCAAGAAGTGGGAAATGCTGGGACCTTGGTTTACAATGAGGGAGGGATCCAGAAAGCACAGTGGAAATGTCTGGAAGGAAGGGAGGCCCAGGGAGTTGAGCTAGTCTGTTGGAGGAATGAGCTAGTTGAGTCATTTGGAAATGGGAGGTGATGAGTAGGGCTGTGTCGGGTATACGAGAAAACCTGGCCACCATGTAAAGGCAGTGGAGGTGGGCTCAGGTTACCGGGAGACAGTACGTTCTATCTTCTTTATCTCCAGTTCAGCTAGGAAGACCCAGAAGGATGGTCTCATATGCTGCAATTTGCCCTCCAGGGAACCATACCTAGATGAGACATATTTGTGAAGTGGATCTGCAGGCCGGGCTTAAATTCCTCAAACACAATAATCTGTCAAGAAGAAGGAGGTGAGGTGGCCGTGAGATTCAAGTTCTGACTCTTTGCAAGGCAAAGACTGAACAAGGTGGACTGGGATGAGAGGGGTGTTGTGGCGGAGCTTACTTCATTTGATCCAGGACGAAGCCAGGGTCCTGGAAGGTAGAGGGTCTCCTGGGGACCTATATTCCAGTAGCGTCCCAGATTTTGTCCATTGATGAATATTACACCTTTTGTCCAGCCCTGAAAAAGTTTGGAATGGAGGATTCTAGATATAATGACCCTCGGGCTCACACGCACGCCCTCCATCAACACACCGGATCATGGTCACAGACACGCCCCGATGGAGTGGCTTACCACACATGGCCTTAAACGGAATGTCGCCTGGACAGTTCTATGCTATTGCCCCTGGCCTGGGGTGGGCTCGATACCTCGGCCTCTAGAAGGGCGACACTGACTTCTAACTCCCCTCCCTTTATCTGTCCCAAGCCAGGGTAGGGTTATTTCCATGGACCATCAGGCATTCATCAAAACACACTGGGCCCGCAGAACTTCGCGTGCGTTAGGATCTCAGCTTCCCCACCGCAGACTGGATGTGTGTGTCCTAAAGGGCTCGGATTATGTCTGGGGCAGGGGGGTCACACTCACTACATTCCCCACGCGCTGCAGTCTATGGTTGTCCCCACTAAAACAAACTAAGGTCTCTGTCACAGTTGTTAAGTTTCCACCTCTCACCCTTGTCAACACCAGGGAAGGGGCGGCCTCCAGACGGCTGCGCAGTGGCTCGTGTCCCAGAGACCTTACATTTCCTTTCACAGGACAAGCCCATGCACCAAGGAGCTTTTTCTCAAATATCCTTTGGGGATATTTGGGCAGGGGAGGATGGGCAGGGGAGAAAATCACTAACCTCCATTTTTATGAAAGTGTCTCTGGGGTAATTACCCATTCTCAGGATACCAAGGAAGAAGGCAGGGCCCTGATGTTTGAATACGACTGGTTTCCAGATGTTAGGAAGGTCCCTGAGAGGGAGTCAAACAGCAGTGGAAATGTCATGCCCTTCATTGCGTGGCAGTTGTGACTTTTGAGGTAAGCCCCCCTTTTGCCCAAGCCTAGCATCCCTCTGATAGCACAGGAACACATCTCTAGGGGGCACGATGCAAGAAGGAAGAAAAGCAAAACCAGCAGGCCAGGGGCTGGACAAACGAGGGCATGGTCCCTACTCTGTCCCAGCAACTACGAAACTCGGGGTTATTTCCTTCAACACTACGGATCTTGCCTCTCTTATCTGAAAACTAAGGGGGTTAGTCTGTGTGGCCTCTGAGCTTCTTTCCATCTCTAAATGGGAACCATCTTTGATCAAGAGCCTGGACTCAATGGTCTGGCACCCACCTTCGTAGAAATTTAGTTTTCATATCCAGGCTGTAGATTTTAAATTTTCTTAAAGGAGAATTGTTCAGATAGATATCGCCAATTAAACCTGTAGAGGGGGGAATAAAGGGGACATGAAGAAGGCAAACAGGGATGGGAACGCACAGATGTCAACAGGCTGTGGCCAAGGTTTCCCCGAAGGAGGATGCGTTCCCGGCCTCATTGGGTGGAAGGTTTTTGCAAAGTCTTCCATAAGGTCCTCCATCTGCTACCCGCGTGCACCCTTCGAGTGGGCCGGCACGTCCCCCGTTAACCGTGCAGAAGTCACCACACTTCCTGCCGGGTGCGGCCCGCACAGCAGTCAGAACACTTGGAGGAGCGGAGGGAAGGTATGAGTGACTCTGTGCCCAGGAGCCCAGGGGGAGCCCAGGACGCAGGCACTGAGCTCCAGAGAAGGAAAAATCAAAGTTCCCAGGGAGGGATTCTAACCAGCTTCTCCTGCAGCTTTCTTCAAACCCCCCTGGAAGAGAAAGGCAGTGCTCTGGCTTGGAAATTAGAGAACACCCTTGAGGGAAGGCACCATCATCCTTTCCCATCAAAGCAAGACTTCCTCAGAGTCTCTACATACGGCTGTCTCGCTGGCCAAGGGACCCTGCTGTCTGCCAAGCCATGGACCGGGCCATGACTGTCCGCAGCCTGGTTAGGAGCAACAGGAATTCAGTGCCTCGAGGTCTCAAGCTTCTCCACCCTTGGAAGAAAGGGGGCCCACCTTTTCTCTCCTTTTTTTTTTTAAGATTTTATTTATTTATTCATGAGAAGCACAGAGAGAGAGAGAGAGAGAGAGAGAGAGAGAGAGAGAGAGAGGCAGAGGCCCAGACAGAGGGAGAAGCAGGCTCCATGCAGGGAGCCCGACGTGGGACTCAATCCCGGGACCTCAGGATCACGCCCCAGGCCGAAGGCAGCGCTAAACCGCTGAACCACCAGGGATCCCACCTTTTCTCTCCTTGTTGATGTCCTGCCCATAGGCAAGGCGGCCTTGATTCTCCACCAGGATCCGCAGCGTTGGGTTATTCTTGTAGACCTGTCCAAGACAGACCCACCAGAGTGGGTAACGCCGGGACTTTTCTGCAGACCTCTTAAGTCTCCTCTGCACTCTGATGAGGTTGTGGTCGGGGTGACTGACAGGCAGCAGGCCTCCAGCTCGGGCCAGGTAAACCCTTGGGCTCCTGCTCTTCCTACTCACCCCACCCTCACCCCCACCCTCACCCCCACCCCCTTACTAGGCCTTTTAGAAAAGTCACTCGAACATTTCACAAGACATTACTGAGGCTGGTGACAAACCCAGAGTTTTCTGAGCAGCAAATATCCAACACGTTGGAGTTCTTCTCACCCAAAGCATATACACCTATACTTTAGAAACGGCTCTCCTGCACCGCTGTTGGGTTCTCATGCAAGGAACATTCCAAAGAACAGTGGAGGAGAACATAAGCTATCACAGGGCCAGGCCCCGCTTACAATTGAGCCTGGGCGCTGGGGTATTAGTTCATTAACCCTGGATCATATACCATTTTCGTAGGAATGGTCAGATGATTAGTGGAATGGTCCAGGATCCCTATATAAATGTCATCCACAAACACCTGCCAAAGAAAGAGGAATGTGCCATTAGGTCTTCAGAAAGAAAGGGATAAAATGGTCCTTGGGAAAGCAAAGAAATGGCAGGTTCAGGGGAATGATTAACTCTGTCTCCCAGAATATTACGAGCTGACTATGCGTCCACAAAGACACAACACATTCAAAGCAGTACAGTCACGAGATGTAGGAGGCAAAGTTCAGAGAAGGACGTCCTGATGCCAATATACCAAATCTGGGCCTGGCTGCACCACGGGGCAAGAAGGGAAAGAATAACTGAAGAGACCTGCAGGGAATGAGGACAAAGGAAGGTAGGTAAGGGATGGATATTGTGAAAGAAGTGACGGCCGTAGGGAAGACAGGGCTCCAGGCACGGGAGGCATCTGTCTGCCTCGCCCGCATGGGTTCACTTCCATAATGGATCCCATCTTCCAGGTTTCTCCTGGCTCTTCTCTGAAGAGCCTGCTACCACCGTTATTTCTCTCCCTCTCTTAAAGATTTTATTTATGTATTCACAAGAGACACAGAGACAGAGAGAGAGAGGCAGAGGGAGAAGCAGGCTCCATGCAGGGAACCCGACATGGGACTCGATCCCAGAACCCTGGGCCCAAGGCAGATGCTCAACCACTGAGCCATAGGGCATCTCTATTTCCCATTTTAAGAATAACTTGGATGTAAATCCTTCTATATTCTATTACCTATTATATTGCTTCAAGCTCAGATGTAGTCACTAGAAGAATCGGCTCTAGCCATGCAGGGCCACAGAAGGATACAAATTTGCCCCTTAGGTTATTTGAGGCAGGTTATAATTTTCAAATTAAATTTGACTAGGAAACTATAAAAATTGAAATCCACAGATATTAAAAACACAAATATTGATGCCATACAGAACAGAATTCACATTGTAACCTATTTAGAGTCTAATTACAAGGTTTACATACTCTCTATTGAACACCCACTGAATGGCTTGGTCAAGGGGTCACCAAGCTTAAAGCGCAACTCCAGCCGTTGAGGAGCTCAGAGAGTAACACCGAGAAATTACTAGGACACTCCCCGGGAGCTACCACGAGCTGTGGACGGAATGTCATGGAGGCGCAGAGAAGGGAGCGGCAAGTCCTGATCCGCAGCAGGGTCCAAGCTGGTCGCCAACCTGATGACAGGTGACTAGGAAAAATCAACGGAAGGCTGCAGGCAGGGGGGCCGGCTTGCTGAGAATTTTCCTTCCTTGGGAGGAAAACTGGGGGTACGGCGAGGGGGGTGCAGCGAGGAGGAGGGGCACGGTGGCTCTGAAACAGGGGGCTCAGTTTGGGGGCCCTAAGAGCGGGGGCAAGACCCAGAGGCACTGGTGAGGCCCAGCGGAGCGCATGGGGCACGCAGGGCCCAGAACAGGGCTGGAGGGAGGGGAGGGGAGCGGTGCCCCCCGGGGGGGGGGCTGCAAGTCCAGGAGCTGATGTGAGGGGCACAAGATGAGCTCTATTTAGGAACTAATGAGCTTGGTTTTAGAGGAGATGAGCGTGAGAAGTGAGTATAATGTGTTTAAGTGAAGAGGAATGTTCAGCAAACCAGGGACCTGGGTGTGCAGCCCGGGGAGGCCGAGGAGGCCTGGAGGCTCGGGCAGGGGACCTGAAACTCAGGAAGAAGGTGACACGGACGGTGCAGTGGGGGCAAGAGCAGGGTCTGTCCAGGACCCGAGGAACCCGCCAGCTCCCAGCTTGGAGTCGGATGGTGACCGTTACCCTTGGCTTTGCTGCTCTCGGTCAAAAGCCTCTGGGAGGCATTTCCTTTCTCTGAGCCTTCTCCTCCATCTGCACATCTGAGGGGGGTGTTGAGAATTAAATGAGAGCTCAGCCCATTGGAAGGGGACGTGTGAATGCAGGGATGCTGCAGACCGCACAGGCACTTCCGAAGCTCCGCCCGGGTCTCCTTTAAAGAACTCCACCAACTCCCAAGGGCTCCGGGGGTACCCGGTGGCTCCCCGGGAACGGCTACACACCTCGGTAGCCTGCAGATCAAACATTTCACTGAAGGGACATAGGGTAAGAAACACTGATGATTCTTTGAAAGTGGAAAAGATTTGACTACCAGAGACACTCCCTTCAGCAACACCACGGGGTTCCACTCGCAGAGGAGTGCCACTGGGGCCCATCCGTTGTGCCCTACCTGACCTCGGTCTTGAAGATGACCCTTTGTGGTAAGGAGGCCACCAGAGATGATCATAGTCTCATAAAGAACGTATCCAGAGGACTGACCACTCCCCTGGTTCACGGACAGCTTTTCCATGCAGATCGGCTTGACAGAGCTGATGGGCTGCGGCAGAAACAGGAACAAAAACCGGGCTGCACGTTCAGGCTAGAGAGAAAAACTTCAGAAACTTGCACCCAAAGCCCGCTTCTCCAAAGGAATTGCACCAAGAGCCTTGAGGACAGGAGTATAAAAAGGGAATATGTAATGATAGGCATGCTTAAGTGTCACTTATAAATGCCCTTTTTTGTTTTCCAAACCAACTTTGTGTTTCTCTGCAAGTGTTACCCACTAATGCATTTTTCTTTTTCAGATGGAAAAGCTGAAATCAAGGAAAGGGAATGATCTGCTAACTTGCTCATCAAGTCATGCTAGAGCCTGGGCTAGACGCAGGAACTCCATCCGGGGCATGCCAGATTCCATCTAGCCTTGGTCTTCTCTTCTTGTTCCTTCACAGACTAAGAGAAATCATCCTAATCCAAGGTCTGACTGTGGCTATTCATGAATCTGCTCATCTCACACTGACCTAAAGCACTCGGTATCTGTTAACTGTCTGTTAGACTTCTCCTTCCAAAGATCCCAAGATGATTCCAATGCCGTACCTCCCAATTGACCATACTTTCCCATCCTACTCTTTTCCCTTTCCAAAAAGCAACACCAACCATTCAGTCAAAAAGGTAAAAAGCATAGACAATGTTTCTCCCTCTTCCTCCCATCAACCAATATCCCCCATCAACCAGTCACTAACCCGTCTTCACTCCCATTATCTGAGCTCAACTTCAGTGATTTCTACTCATTTTCAGTGTTCTAGCATGGTCCCACTCTATTCTACCCCCCATACAGCTACCAAAGAAATCTTTCTGAAATGCAAAGCTGATCCATCTGATTTCCAAGCCATGCTTTAAAATAGCTACCCACAACTTTCAGGGAAATGTTCAAATTTCTTAGCATAAAAACATGGCCTTTCAAACTGCCTTGGAGAAATACATGATTCCAAATCTGTGGGGCCACACAGCTTGAGATATCCTGGAGGATCAAAAAGCAAAGAAGGTATCAAAAGCTATTGAACTCATGTCAAGACACAGGAGCCAACTTAAAGGAAATGAGACAATTGGAATATCAAAAGGAATGACGACAATAGGTTCAAAACCTGTTTAATGGGTTTTCAGAAAGGTTTGTTTATTATTTATTTTTAAAGATTTTATTTATTTATTCATGAGACAGAGAGAGAGAGAGAGAGAGAGAGAGAGAGAGAGAGAGAGAAGCAGAGACATAGGCAGAGGGAGAAGCAGGCTCCATCCCAGGGACTCCAGGATCATGACCTGAGCCAAAGGCAGATGCTCAGCCACTGAGTCACCCAGGCGCCCCGTGGACCATTTTCTTATACTATACACAAAAATAAACTCAAAATGTTTAATTAAATACCTAAATGTAAGACCTGAAACTATAATACTCCTAAAAGAAAATATAGGTTGTAAACTCTTGGACATCAGCCTTAGCAATATTTCTCTGGGTCTGTCTCCCCAGGCAAGGGAAGCAAAAGGAAAAGTAAACTACATCAAATCTCAACTAAACTAAAAAGCTTCTGCATAGAAAAGGAAACCCTCAGCAAAATGAGAAGGCAACCTACTGATTGGGAGAAAGTATTCGCAAATGATCTATCTGATAAGGGCCTAACATCCAAAATACGTAAAGAACCTGTATAATCATCATCAAAAAAACATATAATTCAATTTAAAAATGGGCAGAGGATGCATACTGATGAAGATGTGGTGAAAAAGGAACCCTCATGTACTGTTAGTGGAAATGTAATTTGGGGCAGCCACTGTGGAAAACAGTAGAGCAGCTCATCAAAAAATTAAAAATAGAACTACCATATGACCCAATAATTCCACCATTGACCTGAAGGAAACAAAAACACTACTTTGAAAAATATATGTACCTCTATGTTTACTGTAAAGTTACTTACAATAGTTAAGATATGGAAGCAACATAAGTAGTCACTGACAGACGAATGACTAAAGAAGATGTGGGGGATAGATAGATAGATAGATAGATAGATAGATAGATAGATAGATAGATGATAGATAGTACTCAGCCATAAAAAGAATAAAATCTTACATTCACAACAATATAGATGGACCTAGAAGTATTATGCTAAGTGAAATAATACAGAGAAAAACAAATACCATGTGATTTCACTTATATCTGGAATCTGAAAAAAAATAAGCAAACAGAGACAGATTCATAAATATAGAGAAAAAATTGGTGGTTGCCAGATGGCAGGGGGTGGAGGGCCTGAGGAAAATAGGTGAAGGCCATTAAGAGGTATTAAATTCCAAGTATAAAATAAATAAATAAGTCACAGGGATAAAGAGTACAGCATAGGGAATATAGTCAGCAATTCTGTAATAACCTTGTATGGTGACAGACAGTAACTGTACTCACTGTGCTGAGCATTTTGTACTGTCTACCATTTTCAAATCAGAATCTTGCACACCTGAAACTTATATAATATTATATGTCAAGTATACTTCAATTGAAAATAAAAAATTTTTAAATTGTGAGTTTATAATCAAATAAAAACAAGAGCAAAATAACTTCATCAATCACTTTTTAAAAAAATTTATTTATTCATGAAAGACACACAGAGAGAGAAAGAGGCAGAGACCCAGGCAGAGGGAGAAGCAGGGTCCATGCAAGGAGCCCGACACGGGACTCGATCCGGGGACCCCAGGATCACACCCTGGGCCGAAGGCAGGTGCTAAACCACTGAGCCACCCAGGAATCCCCTCACTGGCCACTTTTGGAGGATATCCAAGAATAAATCCATTATTTGATAAGAGAAAATCCTTGAACTTCTGTCCTAACTTTTCTTTACAAACTGTACATTAAGGTAACGAGATAATTCATGAAGAAAAGTTTTTCTACATAGAGGAATTCAAGTGTATAAATGCAGAATAAATGACTAAATTAGAATAACATTATTTTGGGGCACGTGGGTGGCTCAGTTGGTTAAGCATGTGCCTTGGGCCCAGGTCATGATCCTAGGATCCTGGATCGAGCCCCACATCAGGCTCTCTGCTCAGAGGGAAGTCTGCTTCTCCCTCTCCTTCCCCGTCTGTGTCTCACTCAACCACTCTCTTGCTCTCTCTCTCGAATAAATAAATCTTTAAAAAGAATGACACTATTTTGAAAGCCTTAATGAAATATCGGATAAAGTTAATAATTGTCAATGACTGCTAAAACCATTAGGTAAAAGGCTGATGGGAAACTTGTTTGTGGATAACAGGGCTAATACTCCTAAACCCACTGGTCAATTATGAAAACAGAAATGACCAGCCATTACGTGCCTGGGATATGATGCATAAAAATATAACAGCATCACCTATGAAGTATACTTGCAAACAATTTTTTTAAAAGCACCTAACTCAAATTTCATCAAGCATCTAGACCAGTTTACTAAAAATGTGGGGAGTATAAAGACATGTTCCCAGATACATGGGGATCTAATTAGCAAAACCCAGAATGTAGGGAATTCTATAGTACAAATAATCTTGCTCTTCAACAAATAAATGTAATAAAAAGAAGAGACATCTTTCGATGAAAAGAGATTTAAGACACGTATCAATTAAATGCAATGTGTGGCTGACCTCAGTGGGATCCTGATATTAACAAATCAATGCAAAAAAATGTTATGAGATAATTGGGAAAATCTGAACACTGGAAATTTTATGATTTTCAGTGGTGGTGTGCTCCAGCCAGTCTGTACCAGCTCATGAGTGACAACTGTGCACATTTCTACCCAACCCTGTATTTTAATTCTGTATGCAGTATTGTCATGCCAGAGTCTTGAAATGACCATAGTGGGAATATTTATACCACAGGAATTGGCAAACACTACTAATCAGAGTTTTTCCCTCTAGAGACCCTGTTACTAAATATTTCCCAGGAAATCACTGACTTTTAGGGATTATTACTACTATCACCATCATCATCAAGAATGATAATGATTTTGTAGTTGTATTTTTAAAAGAGTTTTTATCTTTTCAGATACATGTTTAATTATAGTTGAAATTATATGATATCTAGGATCTGCCTTAAATTAATCTTAAAAATAGTAGAGGAAAAGGAATATGGGTATAAATGAAACAGTTTAGCCACATATTAATAAGGTTGAGGTGCATGTTGAGCACATAGGGGTTCACTACTTTTCTCACTGCCACTTATTCATGTCTTCAAAATTCCATAAGAAAACATTTAAAACCACAAGACGCTCCAACATGGGGTGCCCAGTCCCTTACTTGGCACTCCTTTACAAACACTTTTCATTCATCCTATTTGCAATTCCCTAAACATGCATTTCTTTCCATGTCTTTACAAATGGTTTCCACTATGCTTCAAATTCCTTTCCCTCCCCCATTCTACCCTACTATTCATCTCATTAAGCTTCTATTCAATCATTTGGATCTCAAAATCACCTCAATTGGGATATAATATTGGATCCTGTGACTGTCCAGCATGCTGAACATCTCTCTAAGTAATAACACAGCAGCTAGCACATGCTCAGCACTTACTACAGGTCACGTTCAAATATTAGCTGCTTAATCCACACCACAGTCCTATGAAGTAAGTGCAATTATTTGCCTTATTTTCCAGTAGGGAAACTTACAATGAGGTTAAATGACCACCCCAGGGTAAATACTGGAGCAAAGATTCAATCCCAGTCTTAGCCCCAGAGTTTATGCACGACACAATACTATGTTCCCTTGACAATGCTGTGCTGCCTTCATTCCTCTATCATGGGACCTACAACCCCTAATCTCTACTCACCTCTCCTCTGTATTAGACTGGAAGTTCCCCCAAAACAGCATCTTTGTAATACAGTTCCCCAAAGATTGTTTACTAAGTATTGTGTGAATAGCTACACAGGTTTTCCTATATGCAAATGGTTTTCAAACTATGTCCCTTTAAACCCTACAGGTAAGTCAGAAGTGGCATGTGAGCCATCCTATTATGTACCCCCCTAGAGAAAGGATGACAGACCCTTAGGATTCAAGTACAGAGAGTCAGAACCACCACCCCTGATTAACCAGTGCGTGCTTTATGTACTGAACACTGCAGTGAGTTTGAAGAGAGTCCCTCTACTAAACCAAAAGTTTAAAGATCATTACCCTAGATCTTCATTCTAACCAACTTCAGAAAGGAGGGATCTCTTCTTGGTTATGCTATTGAAAGGAAATTCTCCCAGTATCCTGCAACATTTACACTGTTTCTTTACATTTAAATTTTCTGAATATTCCTGGATTGGTTCTGGGTGTCTTATTCTGAATTGTAAAACCTATGGAATGGAGAAGATATTTGCAAACATCTTATCAGATAAATGGCTAGTATCTAAGATCTATAAAGAACTTATCAAACTCAACACCCAAAAACACAAATAACCAGTCAAGAAATGGGCAGAAGACATGAACAGACATTTCTCCAAAGAATACATAACATAGCCAACAGACACATGAAAAAATGTTCAACATCACTCATTGTCAAGGAAATATAAATCAAAACCACAATGAGATACCTCCTTACATCTGTCATAATGGCTAAAATTAACAAGTCAGATAACAACAGATGTTGGCAAGGAAGTGGAGAAGGGAACCCTCTTACATTGTTGGTGGGAATGCAAACTGGTGCAGCCACCCTGGAAAACAGTGTAGCTATTTTCTCCTCAAAAAGTTAAAAATAGAGCTACCCTACCACCCAGCAATTGTAGTACTAGGTATTTATCCAAAGGATACAAACATAGTGATTCGAAGGGGCACCTGCACCCCAATGTCTGCAATAGCCAAACTATGGAAGGGGCTCAGATGTCCATCAACAAATGAATGATTAAAAAAAAGGTGGTAAAAAATAAAAAAATAAAAAATAAAGAAGAGGTGGTGTGTATGTATGTATATATATATATATATATATATATATATATACACACACACACATATATTTGAAATGGAATATTACCAAGCCATCAAAAAGAATGAAATCCTGCCATTTGCAATGACATGGATGGAACTAGAGGGTATTATGCTAAGTAAAATAAGTCATTTAGAGAAAGACAAATACTGTATGATTTCACTCATATGTGGAATATAAGAAACAAAACAGATGAGCATAAGGGAAGGGAAGAAAAAATAAAATAAGATGAATTCAGAGAGGGAGACAAACCATAAGAGACACTGAACTCTAGGAAACAAACAGGGTCTCTGGAGGGGAGGTGGGTGCGAGTTTGGGGTAACTGGCTGATGGGCATTAAGGAGGGCACGTGACATAATGAGCATGGGGTGTTATATGCAACTGATGAATCACTAAGTTCTACCTCTGAAACTAATTTTAAACCCCAAAACAAAGCAAAAACAACCCTAAAAATAATCACTAGTTAGCACTGAATACAGTAAATGTTGCTTCTAAAATAGAGAAATTAAAAACAATAAAAAAATAAAATAGAGAAATTAAAGGAAAGAAAATACAGTTCATTCACGAAAAGAAGGAAGTATTGTGCAAACCTCGATTAAAATGATGGAACAATGTTTAAGTCAGATATAATTCTAGATCATTAACAGAGTAATTTCTCTTTTGAAAGATAAATTTCATTTTGTAAAACCAAATTCCAACTATGTGCTTCTCTCAAAAGTTACACCTAAAATAAATGACACTAAAACAAACAAACAAAAATCAGGAGAAGAAATTAAAACTGCTAAGAATTGCTTTTACTTCCCCAATAATTTACTCCCTATTCTTTGCTAATATTTTCCCTCCTCCCTTGTCTGTCCAAAGGCTATCCCATGCTTTTACACCCGGAAAATGCTTACCTCCTCCAAGTAGGGCATGACATCCCACAGGGAAATGTAGTATGGTGTTATCACTGACTTATATGTAGCCTTAGGTATAGAATCTGGTTGGGGATGCTTGGGAATCCCTGCAATTAAAAAACAGAAGATTGGACCATTCTGAGATCCTCTTCCACCCCCATTCAAGGCCACCACATACTCTGCTACCTCCAAACCACCATGAATGAGGGACCCAGTCAGTCACAGTACTGCTTTCCCAACTCCGGGAAGAATCGTAAGGTAGGCAGTAACTGAGTGGGATCCTTTCATATTTATAGGCTCTGAGGCAGGATGTCCTGCTGTCTGGGAAAAGGACGTGGCACATCAATACCACAGCTGGACCAAGAGTGCTCAACCCGGCCCGCTCGTTAGACTATCCTAAAGTCCGACGGGAAAATATGAACGCTCAGGTTCTGTCCTTCTTCCCCATCTCAAACAAGACATACTTATCTAACAGTGCTGGAAAAAAAAAAAAAAAACAGTGCCAGGATGGGCCCTACAAGTTCCAGAGAGGATTCCGATGCACAGCCAAGTAAGCAACATGGCCCTAGATGCTGAGTAACTAGAGGCTGAGTCCTGTATTCTGTGCATATGTGAACCCCCATGGCCTAATGGTAAAATAAACTGGAATAAACTGGATATCTCCCCAAAAGTCCATCCTTATCCATTCCATCAATCCCCTCTTCACAGGATAAGAGACCAGTTGAGAGGCTGAGTTATTATTCAGAGAGGTTGCTGTAGGTACCCAAAGAAAAGCTAAAAAAGTCTTGATACGAGAAGTACTCAGGAGTATATTCTCCATTCTCTGTCAGCAGTGCCCCGTAGTCTGAAAAATATAAAGAAATCTGTCATTTTCCCTAAGAAAGTTCCAACTGCAGCAAAGGAAGATATGAGAGCTCAGTACAAAGCAAAAAGATCCTTAAAACAGCTTTACAAGGAAAATTTTTGGCATTAGATAAGAAAATACCGTGTCCCAATTAGTCCAAACCAGGAGACACCTGCCATACCTCCCAGGGCTTTCACCTGAAGGCCAATAACCCCAGTCCCCGGATATCGAGTAAATCCGGCTGAGAGCCCAAGGCTACTCCAATCCAGTGGTTTCTCTTTTTTTATTTAATTTCTAATTAAACTCCCTTCCCTTCCCTTCCCTTCCCTTCCCTTCCCTTCCCTTCCCTTCCCTTCCCTTCCCTTCCCTTCCCTTCCCTTCCCTTCCCTTCCCTTCCCTTCCCTTCCCTTCCCACCTTCCTTCCCTCTCTCCCTTCTTCCCTCCTTCCCTTACTCCTTTCCTCCCTCCCTCCCTCCAGTCCCGGAGATTGCTCCCAGAGACCCACCCGAGGAGGCTCCAATCTCAAACGGTGGGGTGGCCTAGGTTGGAGATAGCTGCGGGGCACAAGTACTTGCCATAGCTCGTGATCATAGGGAGGTAATTATCCAAAGATGCAGATCCACCCATGAAGCCGAAGTTGGTGCCACCATGGAACATATAGAAGTTGAGGGAGAAACTAGCATTGAACATTTCCCGTACCTCTTTCTTTAACACTGCACGTAGGTAGGAGGAAAAGGATAAATGGGAGAGAAAATTAAAATTTGGGAACATTAATAGCCCCTTGTGGGCTGTTCAAACTGCACGTATCACACATTTGTTTATGCATCTTAGTCTTAGGTAAATATATGTCTAAGTACTTCAGCGTCCCTGAAGTACTTAGTAGCTTCTCACAGTGAGTAACTAAAATCATGGTGTTGGGAATATTTACCTTCAAAACACATTTTAATGGTATTTGTCAACTCTCCTGGAAGGACAAGGAAGCTAATCTGGGACCAGGGAACACTCGACTTCCACCCAACGCACTTTCATTGAATTGCCCTGTCAGAACAACTCTAATCGCTTTAATACAATCAGAGTGGAAACACTGCTCAAATTTCCATTGTGATTACAATGACCTAATGACCGGGGGGGGGGGGGGGGGGGGGGGGGGGGGGGGCTTCAGCCTTGTGCCCTGAATCTCAAGTGCAGACCAGTGCCATCTGTGTCTCTATTCTCCTGAGAAAGGATCTAGGAAGTACTCACTATGTGAATCTGCAGAATGGGGGGCAGTGCCCCATCCATCCAAAGATCTTGCTGTGTACACCATCATCAGTATGGGGCTCCGACCCTGAGAAAAATGAAGTGTCCATTTAGTCAAGTTTGCTACGGTTTAAAAGCTTTGAATTGCTTAGTAGGGACCTGCAAGGCCCAGTCCTCACAAACTCCCTTTATGACTCAGAGCATCCCCCCAGGGCTCACACACCCTGAGTTCTACTCTCTTTTCTCAGGTCATTTCCCTGGTCCTCTTGGGGTTTCTTTTTTTTTTTTTTTTTTTTTCACAGAGAGAGAGAGAGGCAGAGACACAGGCAGAGGGAGAAGCAGGCTCCACGCACCGGGAGCCCGACGTGGAACTCGATCCCAGGTCTCCAGGATCGCGCCCTGGGCCAAAGGCAGGCGCCAAGCCGCTGCGCCACCCAGGGATCCCCTCCTCTTGGGGTTTCAATGGACTTCTCCCTCAGGCTTTGGTAAAATCAACTACCAAAGCCACATATCCCTTTCTGGAACAAAGGATCTCTTCATTCCCTTCAGGGACCAGATTAGAGGCCTAGTAAGAATTGCCTGGCCCAGGAGAAGCACTAAAAATGATCAACAAACAAATGCTAAAAATTTTAAATCCCATTAAATAAGAATTCTCAATTCCCATAATTGTGTTTTGTTTTTATTCAAGTATAATTAAATGTTCTATTAGTTTCAGGTGTACAATATAATGATCAAAAATTCCATAGATTTCTCACTGCTCATCCTGTGTGCTTAATTCCCTTCACCTATTTCACCCAACCCTTGTCACCTCCCCTCTGGCAACTACAGGTGTAACACACTGGTCTTTAAGAGTCCGTTCTTGTTTTCTTTTTTTGTTTGTTCATTTATTTTGTTTCTTAAACTCCACCTGAGAGACATCATATTGTATTTGCCCTTCTCTGACTTATTTCACTTAGCATTATACCCCCTAGATCTACCCATAGTGTTGCAAATGGCAAGATTTCATTATGTACACACACACACACACACACACTATGGAATACTACATATACAAATAAAACAATCACATTTATGGACATATACATCATCAAAATACATAAACTTATAAAAATCACATTTTCTTTATGTATTTATCCACTATCACACACTTAGGCTGTCTCCATACCTTGGCTATTGTAAATAATGCGGCTATGAACATAGAAGTACAGATCTCTCCTCAGGATAATTATTTCATTCCCTTTGCATACATACCCAGAAGCAAGACTTCTAAATCATACTAAATCAGTTCTATTTTTAATTTATGAACCTCTACAGTGTTTTCCATAATGGTTTTTACCAGTTTATGTATCCACCAACAGTATACAAGGGTTTTCTTTTCTCCACATCCTTGCCAGCATTTGTTATCTCCTGACTGTTGATACAGTTTGTCTTAGTGTATTTGGTCTGATATAAGTATAGCTACCCATCCGATTTGTTTTGGCTTCTATCTTCATGGAATATCTTTTTCCATCCCTTTGATTTCAGTCTGTGTGTGTCCTCAAGGCTGACGTGAGTTTCTTGTTGCCAACAGATGGTTGATTCTTTTTTTTTTTTTAAACCTATTTAGCGGGGATGCCTGGGTGGCTAAGCGGTTTAGCACTTGCCTTCGACCCAGGGCCTGATCCTGGAGCCCCGGGATCGAGTCCCACATCAAGCTCCCCGCATGGAGCCTGCTTCTCCCTCTGCCTGTCTCTGCCTCTCTCACCCTCTGTGTATCTCATGAATAAATAAAATCTTAAAAAAAAAAAACCTATTTAGCCATTCTGTGTCTTTTGATTAGAGGATTTAGTCCATTTTACATTTAGTGTAATATTGTTAGGTATTATGTTAATGCTTTTCTGGTTGTTTGTAATTCCTTCCTTGTTGTTCCTCTCTTAATGTCTTCCTTTGTGGTTTGATGATTTTTCTGAATTGGTATGTTTATCAACCTTTCTTTAACTTTTGTATATCTACCACAGGATTTTGTTTTCTGGTTACCATGAGACTTACATAAAACATCCCATATTGATAGCAACCTATTCTACTAGTAACAGGTTGGTTAACTTCAAACACATACTCTACATTTTTAACCCTCTCCCTACATTTTATATTTCTGATGTCACAATTTATAATTTTATCTTGTGTATCATTAAAAAATTATTGTAATGACAATTATTTTTAATACCTTTGTCTTTTAAACTTCATACTAGAGTTAAAACTGATTTACCTACTAGGACATTAGAGTGTTCTAAATTTAACCATACATTTACCTTCACCAGTGAGTTTTATACTTTCATATGTCTTCCTGTTACAAATTAGCTTTTCCTGTTACTAATTAGCTTACCGTTTCTTTCAGCTTATCTTCTTTCAACTTTTGTGAAGCTAGTCTGTTGTGATGAAATTTTTTAGCTTTCCTATTTATTTTTTATTTATTTATTTATTTATTTATTTATTTATTTATTTATTTATTTATTTCAAGCAGAAGGAATGGCAGGCAGAGGGAGAGGGAGAAACAGGCTCCCTGCTGAGCAAGAAGCCACCACAGGGCTCAACCCCAAGACACTGGGATCATGACCTGAGGTGAAGGCAGATGCCTAACTGCACCACTTAGATGCCCCGAACTCCTTTAGCTTTGTCTGTCTGGCAAAGTCCACTTCCCCTTCTATTCTGAAGGACACTTTTGCTGGGTAGGGTATTCTGGGTTGGCAGTTTTTATCTTTTAGCACTTTGAATATACCATCCCACTTCCTTCTAGCCTATAAGATTTCTGCTCAAAAATCTGATAGCCATAAGGAGGGGGCAGATGTAAGATGGCAGGGTAGTAGGGGCATCCTGAACTTGCCTCCTCCTTCAAAAACAGCCAGATCAATGTTCAACTATTTGGAACACCTAGAAAGAAGATGTGACGATTAAGGAAACACTCTGCACAGATGGAGGGAGAGAACGTGGCAGATGTGAAGTTTGGATTGGGAAGAGGACAGCTGTGTGACCACAAAGGGAAGGGGACTCTTTGCACAGAGCAAAGTCAGGAAGAGGGAGAAAATGGGAAAGAGCCCAGAGGGTCAGGACTGCACAATAAGCCACAAAGAAGAGATGCTCAGGGTTGCACAGGAAGATCACTCTCCTTCCCAGAGGCCATTTGGAAGAACGTATTTTCCCTCTCCAAAGACAAAAGGCAAGCGGGGAGCCACTGAGCGGTGCTCAATAGTAGGGTCAGAGGTGTGTGCAGAGGGCAGAAAATCCCTCAACAACGTTTTGCTGTGAGTCACGTAGGCTTAAATCCTGTGTTGCACACCCAGTGGCTGCTTTTCTGTGGCAGAATTAAGCAGAAAGCAGAGACAGGAGCAGACTTCAGGTAACCTGGCCACCACTTTCCCTATCTGCCACCATAGATTCAAGCCTCTGTGACCGTTTTTCTGGAACAGAAGAGAGTAGGGAACTAAGTTGAGTGCAGATGCCCAACCTGGTTCCAGCTTTTTGCTGAGCATTACAATAAACTGTAGCCTCTGTGTACACTGTGCGACAGCTTTCTGGGGTCAGGATGGTGCTGGGAATGCCTGGAGCCTCTCCTCTGGGGCACAGGAGTGGGCCCACACCTCACCTGGACTTTAAAACTTGGAGTTTTGAATTCCAGCCACCAGCCAGAGATAAAATGCAAGAGACCTGTGGTGCTGGGTGTGCAAATGGCCCAGGCACAGAGAGGGTAAGGACAGGGAACCGATGAAAGCCTGGGGCACAGGACATTGTCTGCTTTTCTAAAAGGTCCTCCTGAACAGTGGTGGCCTGGAGTTCTGCTCCTCACGGACAAGAGGGTAGGGTGACCCCATACTCTTGCTCCTCCACCACTCCCCCCTCCTCTACTCCACTAGCATAGTCAGACATCAGAGAGCACCCCCAGTGGGGGCTGGAGTCCCCTACACTAAACCCTGCTCCCCTGCACTTGGCAGGAGCATCTTCACAAGGGCCAGCCAGCTTGTGGGCCAGCCCAGCAGGCCTCTCCCTCAGAACAGCACAAGCCACCACATCTACCAAGTCTATTGATTAAAGAAAGCTCCAAAACATCAGCTTCCAGGGGAAATAGGACCAGGCTTGCTTCCTTTTTCTTTCTTTCCTTTTTTTTTTTTGTCCTGTTTTCTTTATTTTTAAAAAATTGAAAAAAATTTTTTTACATTTCTTAATTTTTTTATTCTTTACCCTTTATTTTATAAATATATATATATATATTTCTCTTTACTATTATATTTTTGTATCAATGTTTATAATCTATTGTTCATTTGTTGGTCCATTTGTTTCCTTCTCTTATTTTTCAGGTCAGGCTCCTGTTCTCTCTCTCTCTCTCTCTTTTCCTTTCCCTTCTCTTTCTTCCTTTTTTCTTTTTAAGAATCAGGCTAATTGGGGATCCCTGGGTGCCTCAGCGGTTTAGCGCCTGCCTTTGGCCCAGGGCGCGATCCTGGAGTCCTGGGATTGAGTCCCACGTCGGGCTCCCGGCATGGAACGTGCTTCTCCCTCCTCCCGTGTCTCTGCCTCTCTCTCTCTCTCTCTCTCTCTCTCTCTGTCTATCATAAATAAATAAATAAATAAATAAATTTACAAAAAAAAAAAGAATCAGGCTTATTTATAGCTTATTTTTTATATCTGTTTGCATTTTTGTTCCGTTTCCTTTTCTCTTGTCTTGGACCAATCTTTTTTGTTTGATTTTTGTTTGTCTTTGTGTTTTTTCTACTTTTCTTTCTCTCTTTTGCAGGGTTATCTCGACAAACAGAAGGACACCTACCTAAAGGTCCAAACACTTCTCACTACAACCACTACAAGCAAGGAAGAGTTCTGTGGTGCAAGGACCAGTGGAAAGAGTAGCCAAAAGACAAGAGCAGAGTGTACACAGCATGTACCAGAAACACCTCCTGAAGTTTTTGTTGTTGTTGTTCTTATCACTGTTTTTACTGTTTTTTTTTTCTTTTTTTTTTTTTCATTCCTCTTTTCCCTTCTGGAAACAATGATTAGACCAAGAAATCTGCCCCAAAAGAAAGAACAGTAGGTAATACTTGGCATCAGGGATTTAATCAATATGGA